ACTGAGGGAAAATGAAGGGCGTGAGCACCGGAACCAGAGGCCGGCTCTGCGGAACAGCCACTGCTGCAACTGTTTGCTCTGCTGTGATAGATGATCTAAAGGGCAAAGGAGGAAGAGGAAGAGGAAGGAAGAAGTGGTCCAAGGCCCTTTGACTGACTTGGAGGGCCATCGACAGCCAAGAACAAGCTCTGGGCTATTTGCAGCCCTGAGCAAGCCAAAGGATGCCCCAGCAGTATGGGTAGCAGCACAGGTACTACTCCCCTGAGATAGTTTTGGGGGACTGCAGTAGAGCAGTTAGATTTGTGCCCAGTAGCAGCTTAGAGACCACCAAGATTTTCAGGGTATAAGCCTCTGAGACTCGAGGCTCCCTTCTGCATTCCCCGACCTGCTCTAATCAAGCCGGTTACAATATGCACTTGTACCTCGGCATCCTTTACCAGCATTCTTTACAACAACACCCCACCTTCTCCCGGGGATAAAAATAAAGTCAGATCACCATTTTTACTCATGTCTGACGATGGGAACTTTGACTGCTGAAAACTTAAACCCTGAAAATCTTGTTGGTCTCTGAGGTGCTATTGGACGTGAATCTAACTGTCCCCCTGAGGAGCCAGCCAGCAGTGACGGGGTGCAGGCTTGGCCCACTGTCCTCATTAGGAGAGCCAGTTTGGTGTCGTGGTTAGGAGCGCAGACTCTTATCTGGGAGAGCCGGGTTTGATTCCCCACTCCTCCACATGCAGCTGCTGGTGGTACCTTGGGTCAGTCACAAGCTCTTTCAGAGCTGTTCTCTCAAGAGCAGCTCTCTTGGCCCCTCCTACCTCACAGGGTGTCTGTTGTGGGGAAGGCAAGGAGATTGTAAGCCGCTCTGAGACTCCTTCGGGTAGTGAAGGGTGGGGTATAAATCCAATCTCTTCTTCGTCTATGGTCCAAGGCAGGGGTGTCAGATATAAGGCCCGGGGGCCGGAACCAGCCCATCCAGGGCTCTTATGCGGCCTGTGAGCAACTAGTGCAAGGGAGGGACCAGGAGGCTGCTCGGAGGGATGGGCAGAGCCACTCCAATTGAGTCTTTAGTGGAACAACCTTGTCTGCAGCAGTCAAGCAGCATAAGAGCATCTGCCCAGTGCTGCACTGCTGGCTCTCCAGTCTGCCCATGTTGGTTTTCCTTTGCATCCCCCTCCCAGCCCATGAGGCTTTGCAGTGAGGATACACCAACCTGGAGATTACCAGCTGCTGTCCTTTATACAGTTTGTATCTCCAGTACCTAGCAGAGTACCTGGAAAGCCAGTTTGGTGTAGTGGTTGGGTGCATGGACTCTAATCTAGGAGAACAGGGTTTGATTCCCCACTCCTCCACTTGCACCTGCTGGATGACCTTGGGCCATAGTTCTCATAAGAGCTGTCCTTGAAAAAGAGCAGTTTCTGTCAGAGCTCTCAGCCCCACCTACCTCACGGTGTCTGTTGTGGGGAGGGGAAGGAGAAGGCGTTTGTAAACTGCTCTGAGACTCCGAGTGAAGGGCGGCGTATAAATCCAATCTCTTCTTCTTCTACTACTTTTTATGGCACACATGGCCCGGCCTGGCCTGACAAAGTGACATTTATGTCAGATCTGGCCCTCGTAACAAATGAGTTCGACACCCCTGGCCTAAGGTGTGAGTGCAGCTGCCCTTGCAGCACTGCCAACATTGTTGTGGCTGCTTGGCTCAACTTGGCTAGGCTGTGGGCCAGTGCATTTCAGTGCTCTGGTCCACCCTTGGGTGCGAGGGCCGAGTGGTAGTGGAGAGTCATTTGCAGTGGCAATGGGAGTGTTTGCACAGGGTGATTCACCTTTCTTTCTTCCTGACCCCCTCTCACCCACCATCTCCCTCCCTCTGCGGACTCTAATCTGGAAGAACCGGGTTTGATTCTCCACTCCTCCACATGCAGCTGCCAGTGTGACCTTGGGTCAGTCACAAGTTCTCTCCAAGCTGTTCTCTCAAGGGCAGCCCTCTAAAGTGTTCCCTCAGCCCCACCTACCTCACAGGTTGTCTGTTGTGGGGAGAAAAAAGGAAAAGAGATTGAAGCCACTCTGAGACTCCAAGTGAAGGGTGGGGTATAAATCCAATCTCTCCTCTTCTTCTTTTAGCTGGCTTTTTACAAAAACAGCAATATACAACTGCAGAAGTTTTTTTAAAAAGCTGGTTTAAAAGACTACAGGTGGTGAGGAAGGAATGGTGGGGAGCCAGGGGAAATGTGGAGGGGAGCAGCACTAGATACGGGTAGGATGTCAGAACATCTACACTTGCCTGTCCACCTTGATGGGGGATCCAGTCAGCGTTCCCTCTAAGCTGAGTGAGTGTGAGTTAGCGCAGTTTTTTAGCCTCTGGCTCACACATTTTTGTCTCAGCTCAGGGAGGAGGGCTCCAGAGCGAACTAATTTATGTGGAAGCCAAATGGCTCGCTCACAACTTCGATGCCAGTAGCTCACAAAGTAGAATTTTTGCTCACAAGACTCTACAGCTTAGAGTGAACATTGGATCCAGTCTGACTCTGAGGTTTCCAGAACGATCAGAGCCAAACAGTTTCTGGAAACCTCAGTGTGGACCACAGGAAACCACAGAAGGCAGTAAGAGGAGCGTGATGGAAGATGATGTTGCGTGGATGCTCTGAAAAACCCTGCTCCTTTCAGCAGGGGTGTAGCAAATCTTCCGTATGGAAGCAGCCCCGTGTCTTGAGAAGGACGGAGAAAGGCCCCCGGCAGCCGCAGATATCCCCCGCTATGCCATGGGATACAGACCCCTGTATAACTGCTAGGACGACAAGCCCCAAGACAGGGACCCGTTGCCTGGAATGCCCCAGTGTGACCTCTTTTCTCCCATGGGCAGGATCACCCGGAGGAATGGACCCAGACAGAGGCAGGAATCAAGTGGGATTACAAAGCAGCCAGCAAGGGGAATTTGTCCCCCCGGGTGGAGTTTGGGCCCTCTCCTCCAGCCCAGCCCAAGGAGCAAGGCCACACCACCTTTTGGGCCTACCTGGAACAGGAGCTGGAAAGGATCCTGCTTGCAGTCCGTCGCCACCACACCACCAGGCAGAGCCCTGTGGCTGAAGAGCAGATGAACCCCCCGGCTGTAGAGAAGCCAAGCCCCCCGGCCGTGGAGAGCCCGAGCCCCCCGGCTGTGGAGAACCCGGGCCCCGTGTTGGGAGACTGGCAGAGTTTCCTGGCTCACATCAAGCGGTTCCCTTTGACTACAGAGGGGCAGGGCTCCCCGGCTGTGGACAAGCAGCGCCCCCAGCCCGGAGAAGGGCCGAGCTCCCAAGCTGTGGACAAGCAGAGCCCCCTGCCTGAAGAGGGGCAGAGCTCCCCAGCTAAGGACAAGCAGAGCCCCCCACCTGGAGAGGGGCAGAGCTCCCCTAACAGGACAGGGGCAAGAAGCCGGTCCAAGAAATCTCCTAAGAGGACAAGGGCAAGGAGCCGGTCCAAGAAATCCCCTAACAGGACAAGAGCAAGAAGCCGGTCCAAGAAAAGATCCACCACCTCTCCGTCATCCAGGAGCCGAGGATGTAGCTCCGGCCGCAGGAGGCCGTGCTGTTAACAGAAATAAAACCTGCAGAGAGGATGAGCTGGTGTGGCGTGGTTTGTCTTGAAGCAGCATGGGCATAGCGGGCAGCCTTTGCTTTCTCACCCGCTTCTTCTGAACGCCGTTTGGGACTGACAAACTCAGTTCCTTCTTCGGAACCAGCTGTGCCCTCCCGCACCTTTGACAAGAGGGGCCATGGTTCAGTGGCAGAGCATCTGCCTGGCATGCAGCTAAAAGGACCAGGGTAGGAGGCGATGGGGAAAGACCCTCCGCCTGAGGCCCTGGAGAGCTACTGCCAGTCAGAGTAGACAACACTGACCTTGATGGACCTTGACGGCAGCTTCAGGCGATGGTGCTGCAATGCAGCTGCACCGGTGCTTAAGCTCAGCCGCTTAGTTTTTATGTCCAGAGCTCAGCTCTGAAACTTGTGAATTTTTAAATTTTTTATTTTTATTTTATTGGACTTATGATTCGCCCATCCTGCAAGCAGCCTCTGGGCGATTTACAACCTTATAAAACATTTAAAATACAAGCAATACATATAATGCTCTGTATTCTTGGTGCTTGGGGGGGGGGCGACAGTGGGAGGGCTTCTAGTGTCCTGGCCCCACTGGTGGACCTCCTGATGCCACCTGGTATTTCTGGCCACTGTGTGATACAGAGTGTTGGACTGGATGGGCCAGTGGCCTGATCCAACAGTGACTTCTCTTATGTTCTCATAATTCTCATAATTAAGTTTACCAACAGTAAATCAATAATTTAAAACCAATCCAAGATAGTAACATAATAACCCCCCTTTGCCGGCCACACCACTGTCCCGCACAGCAGGTCAGGGAAGGGTATGTGGGGGGCATAGGAAAGAACAGGAGGGTGCCAGTCTTAACCTCCTGTTGCTGCCCTCAACTAAAAGCGGAACATCTCTGCCTTAACGGCCCTGCGGAATTGCATCAGATCCCACAGGGCCTTGATGTTATTTGGCAGAGAGTTCCGTCAGGTCGGGGCCTGGACCAAAAAGGCCCCGGGCCTAGTCGAGGGCAGCCAGACCTCCCTAGGGCCGGGGATCACCAGCAAGTTGTTACCAGCCGATCTCAGAAGCGAGTGCCTCTGAGCGTGGACAGAGTACCTTTCCGTCCTGACTCACTGCAGTCTTGTCGTCTGCTCTGAAAGCTTCCCTCTTTCATCCCCGAGATAAGCGGGGTGGAATCGGAAGTGCCAGGCCACTACACACGCCAATGGACGACCCGTGTCTAAGTCTTGTGCCACAGCAGAGCACCGCTCCTGCGAGACAGTCAGTCCCGCCAGCGGCCAGCGGAGGGCAGCACCAGACAAGCCTTCTCCTTGGGGGGCACTTTGTCAGCTGGTCCTCCCTCCTTTCCTTTCCCCTGCCCCCTCCCGTCTTATATCCCCGCCTCTCGGGACGCTGCAGCCAGAGACGTGGGGCCGAGATGGGGGGCGCCGCGGGGACCGCCGTGGCTTAGCCTGGGCTCTCCAGGTGAGGACTGAGGAAAGAGGATGATGCTGGAGGTGACCTGGGTCGGCAGGGAACGTGGGAAGGACGCAGGAATCTGGGAGAAGAGTGAGGAAGGGCGAAGATCTTGGGATCTGGAAGGCAGCTGTTAGGGAGGGGGGCAGAGAAGTCGGTGTGGGGTGGGGGTGGTGCGGGGAGGGAGCGTGGCCTGTGCTGGCTTCTAGCCGCAACCCGGCGAGACAGGATAGGGAGGCAGGAAGAGGGGGCAGGAAGGGGGGGGGGGGGAGGGGGGGGCGGCCGCCGCGCGCCCCTTTGCTCGCCGGGTCTTTGCTTCCCAAATGATGACGTGAGTCGTGCATCAGTTTCGAATCTGGACCTGGAGAGGAGGTTTGGGGGCGCCCAAGCCCCGGGGTTAGGCGGGTGGGGTTGGAGGGTGGTTTCCCTCTTCTCTTGGGTGAAAAAATTTCTTTCGCTTGCGGAGATGAAAGACCAAAACTTAGCGACTCGACCCCCCAGAGCATGTTTGTTCAGTGCCAGGATGCCCCTGGAGCGTGTGAAGGGCCGAGAGTGCCTCTGAGAGTGCACAGACTGCAGTTCTCTCCTCACCAGTTCTCTGAACGGAAGGGCAGTGTGAGAGGGAAAGACGGGATGGTTGAGCCCCGGCAGCTTTCTTTTTAGGAATGGGAGCAGAGCGGAGGAGACCCGCCCGTGGGATGACAGCTCAAGAGTTCTCCCTGCTCCAAACTGAAGGGGCACTTTGGACTCTATTTCAATGGCTGTAGCCGGCTAAAATCCCCAGTCAAGCCTCCTTCCCCACCCCAAGTAAACCCTGAAAAGGTGGGGAAGGACACCCCCCCCTTCCCCACTTCCATTTGTTTATTTTTACCAATGTGGCCTTCAAGGGGGTGGCATTATTGGCGCAAGGCCTTCCATGCGGGAGCAGAAGGAAGATGGAACCGACATGAACAACTCAACATACTTAACTCAGGTTATTTCCTTGGTTACACGCTGGAAGGGAGGGGGACCCTTTACATCCAGTCATGCCGATTGTTAAAAGGACAGCTTTCAGTAATGCTTTTCTTGGGGGGGGGGGATTTGATCTGCGTTACTGATTTGTGAGTTAGGGTTATTACCAGTTAATTAATCTGGAACAAAAGAAGCAGATCTTGTGCACACAGCCCGTCTCTTGAAGTAACCCAGACCCCTCCCCGTTTCCTTGCAGGGAGCCGTGGATGGAGCAAGCCGCTCCTGGATGGTGGGGGACGCAGAGGGCTCGGTAGTTCAGGCTTGGGCTTGCCAGCCGGAGCCTAGGGGCCTCTGACGGGTCCGAGAGCCCCCCTCAGAGCTCACCATGGAAGGCTGTGGCAGCCTGGAGTGCGTTCCCGCTTCCCCGGAACCAGAGAGCTGGGAAGTCTCGGGAGCAGCGCAGGATCCCCCCGACTCTGAAGCGGTGTTGTGCAGGGCAAGAGGGGACGCTGACGGGAGGGGGACAGGGCCCCCCTTGGGCATTCCCCAGAGCAATGGCCAGCCAGAGCCCTGGGCCCCGTCTCCCCGTGAGGCTGCCGACCCAGAGCCCCCCAAGACGGTGCTGCCCCCAGGTCCTCCCAGCCTCCCTCCCGACCGCTCTGTCTCCAGCACCTCGACCTGCTCCTCGCTGGCTGGATCTTCACAGGAGTCCGACGAGGTTTTCAGCGACTTGGAAGAGAAGAGCCCCAGCATGAAGCGGGTGCTACGGAAGGTGAGGCCAGGGGTGAGCAGGGTAAGCGATGGAGGACACCCCCCCACACACATCCTTGCTGGGTAGGAGCAGAATCTAACGGTGGTCTGGATTGGCAAGTCTGGCCTGAACTAGGGCAGAGATCTAGAGCAGCAGGTGCAGCCTGAGACCTCTCCCCCCTCCAATGGGCTGCCTTTGGGGTGGGGTGCAAGGAGGAAGCTGGTGCACCAGGCAAAGGACCTGCCAAGTAAGTAAGGCCAGGTGACTTGAGCATCAGGCTCTGCAGTAGGACGGGGAGGCAACCCCCTTGGCTACTTGAATGTGTGTGTGGAGGGGGAATCCCTTCTTACCCCTAGCTGGGCCAGCCCGCCCTGACGTGGACTATAACCCAGCCATCAGAGCCAAGTGTCAGAGAATGACCTGGATTTGTACAAAATATTGCACAGGTGTGCCTGTGTGTGTATTCTGCCTTGTGTGTGTGTGTGAATTGTACTGCACAGGAGCTTGTGCAGGAAAACTATAGGCCTACGTGCTTCATTACACTGTGCCGGCATTTTTACCTGGGCTGTGTGTGATGTGCCAAAAATGCCAGTAATGTGCCTTACATAACAGGGTGTGGCACTGGGACTCTTGGAGAAGCAGCAGTGGGGCGTGACTCCAAAACAAAGGCGCTGAGGCTCCGTGGTCGTATCTGGGAGGAGGTGGTCTGTGTCACCTTAACGGTAACGAAGCAGCGCTTTGCACGTGTTCAGAGGCACTCTGTCAGTACATCACATGTTCAAGGGCCCCTGTACGTGAAAACAGGTTGGGAGGCTTGGCCTTCATGAGCAGTTGCTCAAATTAAAGCCCAGCAGAAGTATATTCAGGGAGGCCCAGGGTGCCACCCGGGTGGCTTAGGTCTGCCCCAAGCCCCCTGGCCCATTTTGCTGGACCTTGAAAGTAATAAATCCCCCCCCCCCTCCTTCTAGAATCCCATCCAACAAGACGCACTCCATGCCCTCCTTTATGCCACTCAGAGCCAGCCCTCAGCCCCACGGCCTCAGGCACTGAGAGCTCTCACGTCACGCCCTTAAAGATAACTCCACACTTAATGAAAATAAAATAAAAATTATAAATAAAAAAAAAGATAACTCCACACCACTGCTCTTAAATGCCTTTGCCAAAGAAGCCCCTTTCAGATTTATTTTCTTTATCTACAGTCCACCTTTCTCACTAAGTCTCAAGGCAGATTAAGCACGTATAAATCAATGCAGTCAAACAGCATGTGACGTGAAATCAGTAATGCAATAAGGATTAGGAGGTTTGCAGAATTCAAAAGTGGCACAAAAAAGTGTTAAGACGCGATGCATCACACAATGCAGGAAACAGTTATAAAAGCAGAAAACACAATAAGAGCATGGTAATACATACAATGAGCAGACGAATAATTTACCCTTCTGGAGGATTGTAGCTGGCACCAGTGCCAAATGCTGCGGTGTTCCAATCTGATGCCAGCTCCATGCCTGCAAAATCCAGGGGTATGGGATGGGTGTTGCTGCTCAGCAGCTGAAGAGAGCCTCTCTGCACATGTTCAGGGGCACAGCTTACTTCCTGAAAGGAGGGGCAGGGACCAGGTTTCAGAACCTATGGCAAAATTTACAACTCTTTAAATATGTAGTTATTCATCTGGATGGTTCCTAGCCCATCTTTGTGTATAAATACACGCATACATACATGAAGCTGCCTTATACTGAATCAGACTCTTGGTCCATCAAAGGCAGCATTGTCTACTCAGACTGGCTGCGGCTGTCCAGGGTCTCAGGAGGAGGTCTTTCACGTCACCTATAGCCTGGTCCTTTTATAATTGGAGAGGCCAGGGATTGAACCTGGGACCTTCTGCCTATCAAGCAGATGCTCTACCACTGAGCCATGATCCCTCCCAAAAAAGCTACCAAGGCTGTGGTTTGCAATCCCAAATCCAAACTAGTTGGGTCTCAGTGCTCCAGCAGAGACCTGGCAGCTCTGTTGTTTGGTTTAGTGGCAGGACACTTGCCTTGTATGCATAAGGCCTCAGGTTCAATTCCCGACATCTCCACTTAATGAGGACCTTGGGTAGTAGGTGTGTGTGTGGGCGGGGCGGGGGGGGGGGATGTTCACTGCCCGAGACCCCTGGACAGCTGCAACCAGCAGAAGAGGCCACACTGCTTAAAGGGCCAGTGGTCTGACTGGAAAGAAGGCCACTTCCTAGAAGAGCTGCAGAAAAGCTTCCTGTGTGTCGCACGTCTTTTTAAAAATAGCCAAGCCTCAGGAGGGTGTCACTGAATTCTTGTCCGTGGCAAGCCTCAGTTCTTCCACCACCAGGCTTTTGTTCTTAGTCACAGTCCCATCTCGCCCAGTTGCCCCGCCCCACCCCACCCTGCAGTGGTGTCTTTTCCTCTTACCTGTGTGGAACGTTTTCTAGTTACCCTTGGTGACTTTGACCTGTGTTTCAAAGAGCTCAGTTCTCTAAGACGATCCTTTAAACAGTTTGTGGTCCCACCCAACTTTGGGTCTCCCCTGCCAACAACAACAACAACAAAAGGACATTTGTCCTGGTTGATAGACCCCTGCAGGAGCAGTTTCACATTTATTCATTTTAAAATGTATTTACTTATTTATACCCCACCTTTCTTCCTGAGATTCAAGGTGGGTTACAGAATAAAAACCATGTAGTCATAGAGCAGAAGGCATCCAATGAACAATGCTGTGGTACAGAATTTTAAAAAAGAAAGGTGAACATAAGAGGCCTGCTGGATCAGACCAGTGGTCATAGAATCATAGAATGTTAGAGTTGGAAGGGACCTTGCAGGTCATCTAGTCCAACCCCCTGCACTCTGCAGGAGCATAGCTGAAAGATAGCCCTACATATCTACAACATACCGTACCCGAAAGATGGTCGTCCAGCCTCCGCTTGAAAACGTCCAGCGAAGGAGCATATGATAAGCATATGGAGCAGAGGTCCATCAGTGGCTATTAGCCACAAGGTATAGATAGGGGCTCTGGGGCAAGTGATGCTCTGTCTTGGTGCTTGGGGGGGGGGGTCAACAGTGGGAGGGCTTCTAATGTCCTGGCCCCACTGGTGGACCTCCTTTTTTTTTGGTAAACAAATTTTTATTTTCTTAGGAATTCAACATTTATAGTTAAATCATTTCATCTTTTCCATTGTCTACCCCATTCCCATTTCCTCCCCTCCCTCCGGTGGCTTCCCGCAATGCTTCCCCCCCTACTCCACGTTACTTTACATCATCAATTATATCATTTTCTTATCATTACAATCTCAAGATAACATCATTTGGCTTAATATTGATCTAAACATATTACATTTTGTTTCACATCCCAGTTCTTTTCCAGATATGTTTTAAAGTCACTCCATTCTTGAAAAAAAAGGTCATCCTCTTTGTTATTCAACTTTTTCGTAATTTTGTCCATTTCTGCCATGAACAGAACTTTTTGTATCCAGTCTTCAATTTCTGGCACTTTCTCTGTTTTCCAAAATTGTGCATAAATCATTCTCGCTGTTGTAATTAAGTACAAGAATAAAGTCTTTTTAGTCGTATTGACTTCTTCCATTTTCAGTCCCAAAAGCAGAATTTCCGGCGCCTTTTTGAAAGAGCATTTCAGTATTTTTTGCATTTCTTTGTGGACTTTTGTCCAATAGTCTACAGCTTTCTCGCAAGTCCACCACATATGGTAAAATGAGCCTTCATGACTCTTACATTTCCAACATTTGTTTGACATATTCTGGTTCATATTTGCAATTTTTTTCGGAGTCATGTACCACCTATACATCATTTTATAACAATTCTCTCTAACATTAGTACAAGGCGATATCTTAATAGAGTTTTTCCACAAATATTCCCAGGTTTCAATCAAAACTTCCTTATTCATATTTATTGCCCATTTTATCATTTGCTCTTTCACAGTTTCCTCTTCTGTATACCATTTTAACAACACTTTATACATTTTAGAGATATTTTTCCCCCTCCACTCTCCCAAACATTTTCCATTTCATTTTTTTCCTCTCTAAAACCATAATTTCTTTTATCTGATTTTAAAAGATCATAAATTTGCATGTATTTCAACCATTCATATATTATCATTTGCTCTTTCACCGTTTCCTCTTCTGTATACCATTTTAACAACACTTTGTACATTTTAGAAATATTTTCCCCCCTCCACTCTCCCAAACATTTTCCATTTCATTTTTTTCCTCTCTAAAACCGTAATTTCTTTTATCTGATCTAAAAAGATCACAAATTTGCATGTATTTCAACCATTCATATTCATATTCGATTTCATTC